TTATTTAAAACAATACCTGAAAATCACACTGAAGGTTCAGTAACAAGAATGTAAACAGTTTCACCCGAACGATTTATACGCTTGAGAGTTCCTTTTTATTCGATACAATTACACACTTGCTCTGTTAATTATAATGGAAACGGCGTTAATATTTCGCGCGAATTGACATCGTATGAGAAAACTTACGTGAAGAAAGCGAAACTTTTTCTATACCAGGAATCTCATTCGAAGTGCAGAGATCCTTACCGTCAAAGTGCTCCCCAACTTTTTTTCTTATAATGGTGATCTGTTGCACTTGAATATTTTCTACTACACGGTTTGCGTTTTAAGCAACGGTAAAGTGAAATGATGTTGAAAAATCGCAGTGGGGTCACACTTCTCGTTTACCAAAAGTTATTGTGAACTTTGCGACCCCGTCGAGGTTTCCACTCTTGCGATGACATATTTAAAGTTGCGAAGTCTAAAATGAGAAATTCAAATTTACTAGTCTTTCTTTTCCGACTAAAATGAAATGAACGAGCTTGAGAAGGCAATAAGATGTTATAAAAGAAACCCTTAAATTTCGTAAAATTGCCATTTATCTTAATTTACTGCCTAAAGTGGCCCCGTTTAATATGAAATCTTTTCTCCCCCGCTTGTTAATTCTGTGACGTTTCGGTGTTGAACATTGGTAACTGCACAACTTCAGCAAAACGGATCATCGCACAATCAGTTGCAGTTCAACGATTTTGGAATCTTATGGCATTTCTTATGAATAGGTAGTCCTTTGACGTTCTTTATTTATTGTACGTTACTTGAACGACCCGTAAATCTCGTTCCGTTCTAGAAAATCCGATAAAAGGGTCAAGAAGGCTCTGTTTCGCTGTTAGAAGGACTAGTACGCAAATTTCCTCGTCAATTTTCGTCAAAAATATAAGAAACGCTTTGTTTGAACGACGTTAACGTATAGGTGGTTTTTGTGTGCATGGTTCAACAAAGGATCAACAAATTTTCTTACTAATTCAAGCAACCTGGAGCCTAATAACACCACTTTATTGCACACCTGGAACTTACGTTGGATTGTCATTGTGCATTTTAGACTGAGACTCTTGTTTCCAATTTATTCGTCGTTTCGGGTTCACGACCCAAGATCTAAGCGCTCTTCTAAGGTAACTGTCTCGAAATACTGCTACTACCCTTGGATTAGCTGTCTCAGATTTTTGAACACGTTTATTTGAATTGGTTCCAAATGTCGCATTCAGTTTGCAACTCAAGAGGCTGTTCTCTGAATCGCGGGGAATATTTGCCTTTCCCACTCGAGTTTCCGGGTTCCGGTGAGTAATCTAAAAAGATTTTATCGGAAATTCGTCAAAAACGTTCGCGGAATCTGCTGAAATAAGTCACCTGGCCAGCCCTTTGGGCATTTTCACACATTTAACATACGACTTGCTTTAATTTACTGTATAAATGAGCGGAAATTATTAAGAATAAAGGCACTTGAACCATTTATTTAATGATATTCGTTACGATACTTAAAAACATGGAAACGCTAATTGCTAATTAACTTCAATAGAAACTGAAACATAATCTCATTATATTTCATAAAGTTATTTAGAGATTGTTAAGCTTCAACAAGATGTTGCCTCATTACATTTCACGGTCTCAGTTTCGAGTAACGTGATTTGAATTGATGCCACATAAATGCACCTGCAAAACTTTGTTCGGCGTTAGTTTCCAAAATAACGCGCGAATATTTTTAAAAGCTTTTATCAAGTGACGTTTCTAATTGTAGGTAATAGAATTTAAATGTTAATGGCTAAAAGCCCAGCGACTCCATTATCATAAATCTTGTGCTTTCCTGTTTTATAGGATGCCATATTGTCTACTTTGCGCATCACGCGATACCGCAAATTTGTTGATAGAAGGATTCTTCTGTACGGCTATTTGCGATGTAGATGTTTACATAAAATTAGTTACTCCTATCAAATCCCGAAACTTCCTTATCTCAACTAAGAACAGTCTTAAACACCGCTCCATCCGCATCCAAATTTACAGAAATTCAGCGTGTTCCAATATAATCCGGCATTATTGGTTGTCGGAAAAGCAACTGAGCATCATATTGTCGAAATAACATTTTTCTAAAGGAACTTCCTGTATATGAGTTTATAAAATGAGTAAGTTCCAATATCGGATTAGCGCTTATATTATCGTATGAGGTTATACCTACATCTTTGCCGTTCCAACACTTGACATTCGATTTCGATATGATTTGCTTTTAACAAAAAGTGGTTAACTAAATATTACTAGAAGCAATCTTGAAAAAGATCTTAATTAATCAGTAATTAATTGAGTATGGGTTATTCCGGATGATTTTACATTAATTCGCGTTTGAGTTACCCAAGCGACCAGTGCGTGGCCCCCTGGCCCATTATAAAATTTTGCATTTAGTCAGGTCTGAGAGATTTTCCGCTTGTTGTTAATCCGAGGAAGTTTTACAACAGTTTTGGCAAGAAACTACCAATAAGTAATGCCGCGATTTCGTCTCGAAAGAGTGAAAAGCGATAATCGTCAAGTGTCAAGTTAATCGTCATTTTTAGTTCAAGCAAAAGTTAATTGGTTTCATTTGAATTACGGATTTCCGGAATTAAAAATTTTTCTTAAGCCAGTGTTGAGATTTTCCAGCGTTTCGGAACCCCGCTGGATCCTGAGATCAAAATTTGTCTTAGTTATTAAAATTAAAAGTTCAGGAAAATGAGGGTTTTGTTACAAGGGCAAATTTTGTGCAAATTTGAGCTAGCTAGTTCAATGTTATTTGAGCGGTCTAATGAATTCATGCATTGCATTATTTTTGCACGCCCAACGTGGTGCGTGTTCTTATTTCTAATGTGCCCGAATTATGGGTATCCTGGATATTACTGTGATTTCAAAAGGATATAATTCATAGGGGAGTCAGCAAAATACTCAACCCCCCCAGTTTCTAAAAAGTAGGGAACCACTGCACTAACCAAATATTTATCCAGAACTGTATTCGTTCATTAGGCGGTAATCCATGATAAAAAAAGCATCAACAAATTACTTTACATTTTGGTGAGGCTGCCAGCATGGAAAAGGGGGAAAAGTAAACGGGATTGTCGTTTAGAGAATGGAAACTGCGGGGAGGGGAGATAGGTTTGTATGGGGAGCGATTGGACTCGGCGCCTCCCCTGGCGCCTCCCATACCGATTAACTGACTTTTACGATCTCCGGGGTAAGAGTGGAGCAATTCTACCCCAAATCCATAGGCGGATGTGCCAATGTTAATTTCCTTGAAAAGTAATTTATCACCTATCGATATTATGATCGATTCGATTTGAAACGTGTCACAATTAGCGGATATGTCCAATTATAGGGCTATATCGATTATGTCAGTAATACCAAAATTGTTCGAATAGTCAGGAATCTGGGTATCAAAAAGCCGCTTCTAAAATACTGCCACCTGCACTCGAAGATATACATTTTGAAAAATACGTATCTTGTGCAGAATTAGATGCCGATTCTGAATCAAGAGGGCGCGATGGTCGCAGGGATTGCAAATAGCTAGAAAAAAATAATTTGTACAAAATTTCGCACTGCCCAAAAGAAATTTTACCTTTACATCGCATTTCCGAAGTTATTTATGAATATTTTTCAAGAATTTGTGCACCATTCGAAAGCTCATTATATTCGCCGTCTCACAGAACAAAAAGAAAGTCAATGTTGCCTTTAACAACCACTCTGTAAACTGTTAAAGCTGGATATGCGCGCGAAGTGTAATAAAAATTTCAGTAGCGAGGTATTTTCGTTATTATTGGAGATAGAGGTATACATATACGAGACCAAATATGTAAAATGAAACAAGGTAGTTTTTTTACTAAAACATTTTTTCAATCAGACAAACCGTTTAAGAAATATAACAGGTTAAACATTTTTGAAAATGTAACAATGGCGCGCCAGAATAGCAATACTGCCGATACTCGCTTAAACACGCCCGCTGTCGCATAAATCAGTCTGCGACCACATTTACACAAAATCTCCATCATCTCGCTCTGTCTGTCGGTCAACATCGACCGTTGCCGGCCTTTATTAACACGCACGTTTTCGCATAAGCCCGTCTCAGTCGCAGTCCCGCACCCATGGTTTGTTGTAGGGATGTAACGGAAGTGGTTACATCGGAACCGAATTCGGAAGCGGAGTTTTTAAATTTGGTTTATCGGAACCGAAATCAGAATCGGAACCGGAAGCGGAACCTTAAAGAAGAGACATGTCACCTCTTAGATTACAATACTAATATGTAAATAGAACAAATTAAGTAACTCGAAAAGAAGCAAATTATACTCGAGGAACAGAACAAGTGAAAAGATAATCAACAGAAGGCACGAGATGAGGAAGGTTTCTCCGCGCGACAAGTATAAACGTATTTGTACGCGAACGCACTGATTGTGGCCGCACCGAGCCTGTCCATAAACCTCCGATATAACATTCAATTAAAATTTGTCGGAACCGAAATCGGAATCGAAAGTGCAAAATCAATCGGAAGTTCCGCTCTTACGGAATCGGAACCGAAGCTCCGTTACATCCCTAGTCTGTTGTATCAAAGAGTACGTTACGTACTCTTGGACTGTAGTTAGGTTAGGTACGTCACATCCGTTTTCGTTCTTTATCGCTGATGACTCTTCCTTCATGGGGCCTCGATGTCTATCGAAATTTATGGAACGTTCGCTACAGTATTTTCGTACCACCTAGACTTAATGCAAACTGCGGCATCGACCCTTACAATAACAACCAATAATACATGGTAAACCTACTTTAGCTCAACTACAGTTTCCAATACAATTACTTACATTTTTACATTTACAATATACACTCTCACGTAATGGATTTGGGCGGATGCTAATTGTTATAAGTGTTGGGATTAACATATGATCCATACGTAACCAACCAAAGTTGAACGGATCTGTAAGCACACGATTAACAAGACTCACCGTTTTCCAAACAATCAACTGATAAACTGCTCTTAATAAATGGGTATGGAAAGAATCTTCCGTGGGTGGTACGTTTCTGATATCTGTTTTGCAATATTTTAGTTTATAACTATGACACACTTTAGCGTGCGCGATTCTGCCTAAAAGCTTTATAGCTCTCTATTTTATATCTAAGAATATGTATACCAAATTTGGTTCCAATCGATTCCGCCGTTCAGCCGGAAATAAGAGTATAGACACACAGACCGACAGACAGACGGGTATGATCGAGATTTTGTGTAGATGAAGCGAGTGAACCCTGTGAATTAATCCAACAGTTTAGATGAAATAGGTATATACTTCTCTGCGGCCAAATGGGCATAGATCCCAATAGGGCTGAAAAAAAAAAAAAAAAACTGTCTAGGTGTAAATAATGCGTTGTGATATTAGCATTTAACGTTTTTGAAACGGAACCAACACCAAATTTGAAGGTTGGAACAATCTATGTTGCGTAAATCGAAGTAGCGTAAAAAGCGTACCGATTATATAAGCACCGTAAATTTTATTACCAAAGGAAAATGAGTTAATTTTAAAAATCGTTCGGCGAGCGTTCCCTTTGGGCCACGGTGTTCCGTAAATCCAATTGTAACGATTTGAATTTCTCAACAAGTATAGGTAGTATAATAATTAACGGCGAAGTACCCATTCAACGTTGAAACAATAGAATTTTCCAATACCTGTGCTTCCAACGAATTAAGCGGGTAATTTCGCTTTCTATTATTAAATTTATCCAATAACGCACGTCGCCTCATTATCCGTAGTATGTTTCGTGGCAAAAACGATTAATTGTTTATTGCCTGATACGCGGGAATGTTATAAAATGCGAAATCCGAGCAGCGCATTCTTTCGCTTTATTACTTTTTAATAATTGGAATAAGTAGATCAAACCACGACTCCCACATTTCTAGTGTCTATCGCCTGCATGCGGTGACAGAGCAGCGACCCTGTCTTATTGCACAACACCTTTCTCCATACTCAACGTATGAAAGTTCTTCTAACCGAGAGTAGGGCATACAAACATATAAATACCGGTAATTACTTTATCAATCATCTGTAACAGGCCAGTCATTGTGGGTGTAAAATGAGAACAGTGCTTTTGTGTGGTGTGCTTTTAGTGAAATGGGTTACGGCGCTGCCAATCTCGCAGCCCGTCCTCCAGAGCCCTTATGTGAACGCGCAGCAAGTGCAAGCCATACAGTTTGTACCTAGGCTAGCGGCGCAACCCCAAATACAGTACGTGCAGCAGCAGCAGCAGGCACTGCAACAGTCGGATTCTGGAGAGATTTATGGGGGGTTGTCGCACAGGCCGTCCTCACCACCACCTCCGCCGCCACCACCCCCAAGCCCACCGGCGCAAATTCAACAGCTTCTATTACCCAGTGCCGTCGATCGACAGGTAGGATATTTCTCTGCTTGAGCTTTTTTGTACTTTCAAAGGTAAACGCTAGTTTTCCGATCAAATCTCATCCATTCCGACATTAAAATAAATATAGTAGATAGGCTATGAGAGTTCTGGCCCACTTTTGGTCAAAATCCCATGTTATTTCCCATAAGAAATTCTAAGGTCCATTTCGGTCATTTTTGTATCACTTCTGTCATGTGCGCATGCGCGTCCCGGGCTCGCCGGCAGGGATGTCGTTGGTCGCAGGGTAACACAGCCGGAGTGTGGTATTTCGGAGAGGCGTTGGTCCGGGCAGCCGGGGTGTGGGAACTTTTACCGCCTCAGCTTAATCGACTTATTTCGACAGCCGTGGTGTTGGTATTAGGCCATATATACCTCTTATATATATGGTATAGGCTCTCGGGGTGAGGGACTGTTTTTCCGTCCAATTAGTTTCGCTCCTTTTTTTTCGGCAGCCCGGGTCAAGGTTATTTTGGAAGGCTTCAGTTCGGATCGAGGTTCGAACCTACTTCCCTCCGCACTTACTGCTGTATCAGAGGTCGGATAACCAACTGCGCTACCAGAACTATTACTTATCGACTGATATAGATGAGCCGTGTCTTTCCGTTTGCCTCATATTTTTGACAGTTATGCTTCTCATAAGCGTTGCGGTAAATTTGTAGACGCGGGGATTCGAACCATCGATCTTTACATTAGAACCATCCATCTGAACCACTCGGCTACCGCGCCTTAATCATATCTACGTTAAAACAATCATAGGTAGGTAATTACTTGTGCTATTTATAGAATAAAAGGAAGCATTGTAGAAAAAATCGTTCCCCGATTCTCTAATTATTAAAACGAGAATTAGTCGACGTGTTGTTTAGATTTCCTATAATTATATGACATTGCATCATCCAGCTGTAATACTAGGTAACTTGTACTATCCAAGTCGTACGTGTATGGATGTTCTTCATATTCATTTTGCGATTATGGATAAAAATAAATGTTATATGGAATAGACTTCCTGGGATGGAATGTGTAAAAATGATCGGTCAGCTATTATACAATCGTCCTCTCCCTTACTACTTCATTGTTGAAAGCATTGTAAATTTAATTACGAAGAATAATTTCAAATTCCAATACATAAATAGAACAAATGCAATTCTCGTATCATAGTACGCATTCAAAAATTATACTGGGGCGTATTAGAATTCTTTTTGGGGAGCTTCATGGTAATACAAGCGGTATTTGGCAGCTACGGGAATGAAAAAAAAAACGACTGAAGAAAAACTGCGCTACATTGGTAATCTTTCCCGCGATTTTACGTATAGTAACACTTTTGTCAAATTCTTTTTACCACCGCGCACATCAAAAGTTCGTCGGGGAACATTCCAATATAGGAAATGCACCGCGATTTTTTCGTGTCCATGTTTCTGAAGATACCTTCTGCATTAGCGCGCACGCAAGGTTCTTTTTTACTGTGAGTTCGAAATTTCGGGCGGCTATGAGGTATCCAAATACGAGTAAATGCATATCCTTTTTGCGGCAAAGCAATTTATTACATCCCCCAATCTCATAATGAAGCCGCCATGCCTACTTGAACGATTCAGTATTGCATTATTATGTTCACACACTAAAAAGTGTAATTGGTCCATATTTAAAATACGCGTTGCACTCATGGCAAATGCTTACCCCACCCCAACGAGCACCCTGTCGTGTTGGACTGGAGAATGGAGATGAAAGTAAATTAATTTCAAGTTCAAAATATAAACCTATAAACAAATGCAATTCTCGGTAATAAGTATCTCTGCTCGTCCCCGTCGTCCTTTACTGCTCTTGCACAGTACGCATTCAGCACAAACTATACTCGCGCGCACTTATCAGCTTTTGTATTACAATTCATTAGGTATGTAGATAATTATGCAAACCGGCCGTAATTTTTTTACACTACATTTCTCGTGTAAATTTTCCGTATAGCAAAAGTAAATTTCTTTTACCGCCGCGCACATCAAAAGGTCATTTAATTCGTCGGCGAACATTCCAATATGGGAAATGCCCCCCGATTTTCTCATGTGTCTATTTTTGTGAAGGTACCGATTGTGCCTAGAAAAAAAACTGCATTCGAGTGAAAAGTTCATTTTTATTGCGTGTTCGAAATTTCGAGCGGCTACGAAGTCCACTGGCGAAACGGCGTACCAAATACGATTAAATTATCGGAGAAGTGCATATCTCCCAATCTCATAATGAAATCTATATTATCTACTAAATTTTCTGCGCCGTCATGCAAATGCATGAATGACTCTTTGCATTATTATAAAGACGTCTTGCAAGCGTAGGTATTTGTCCCATTGAAAATGATTACCCCAACACGAATTAAAGCGCCTGTCGTGTTCGTGTTGGAGAATTCACTAATGAGCATTCCTATGGGTTTTACCAATGTTTCCAATAATTAAAAATTTTGAAGGCTCCCCAAAAGGACGGAACGTTGAGTATTCAAAGGACAGCTTCCTGACCCCGAGTGGGATGAATTCTCACTCCACCTTTGTCTTTATTTTTGGATATAGCCATTTTTCCTTGTTTGTGGTTCGTTGTTCTTTGTGGTGTGAAGCACCTATTCAATTCCAAAATAGCCGAATTTTCATATTTCTTTCAAAATTTGTAGTGATGTGGGGTAAGAACTCCCTACGTGTGATGATACTGTTTGGTCAAGTTTTTCAAATATGGATTCTAAATGTTACAATTATTTTTGAGAATTTACAAAAAAGTGAGCATTCACCCGATGCGAGGAGTATTGAAAATTACCTGGGGCCAGGAAGCAGGGCCCACTGGTAAAGGAATGGTAATAATTGAATTACTAGCATGAAACCAACTTTTTCAATGGACAAGAGAGTCCATATATGGGGCTGCGAAGCAGTCGTTCAGGGGGGAGCTTAGTGAAGACCTAGCTTAAACAGCTCAGTGGTCCTTTTGCGGTACACGCATTTGGTAAATACACCGCCGGCGCTTGTTTCAATCTAATCGCTGTCCAATAGCTTTGTGAATTAGTTTCAATTACCACAGATTTTCGGAATCACCTATATATAGGGGTACAAAGCAGAGGCGGAAGCCATTTGGTGATATATCTTCGAGAAGAGCAGACCTCTAACAATGTCTAAAGCGTGTAACTGGGGAAGGTCCTGCAATTGTAGTGACTGTCGACCCACGCTAAAAGAAAAATGTGAAATTTGCTATGAAAGAAACGGATGTCTGGTTGGGAGTACATTAAGGAAAGACAGAAAGGGGATACAATACTACGACTTTAAAACGTGTTGTCAACAATGTTATCATGAAAATTATGGTGAGAGAAAAGAACAGACCTTTAATATGATGTTGCACATGCTCGAGGATTCGATTAAGAAAACTCCTAAAACGACTGAACATGTCTACATTACGAAGCGAAAGGAAATTAAAGAGGTGTTGTGCAGATTATTTAGAGAAGAACTGTGTGAGAGCGATAGCGATCGAAGCAGAATGCCGCAAATCCTCGATAAACTTAAAGTGAAGATATTTTGGGGAAATACGATCGGGGAAAAATTTGAATATGAAAGTGATGAAATTGAATACAACCATACGGCTCATTGGTTCGAATGCAATATTTTACCTGAGATAATAAAGAAAATGGAGGGACCGATTCATGTTACAGCAATGCAAATTTCGGCTACATGTAAGTTACCTAAAGTTACGTATGAAACGGAGGCGCAAGCTCGCCGTCGAGAATGGTGTAGAAGACATTTGTAGTGAGGAAGATGTGTCTTGTCAGAAGACGTACCGGCCATGGAAAAAACGATGAGCATACCTATTGTAAAAATTCTCCAATTCTGCTTGGGATGGACCCTGATTCGGAAGCATGGTCTTCGAGCTTAATTATTAGACATAAGATAATGAAGTTTGATGTCATGTTTACACTACACAAAATAAATATTAAATCGTTGTCATCACATGCATAATTTATGAGAACCTATTTATGATATCCGGAAATTCAATTATCGAATGTCAACCCTCGGACGCTCTAAGCAACAACCGGAGCAAAATGACACTGGCAACAAAAAGAAACACCCTTTGTTCTACGCAAGCAATATGTCTATCAAACGTTGTTCAAGCTCCAAGCTCTGTTGCGATTTCGGGGACGTCCTCCAGGAAGATCTTTCCTAAAGTTGAACGGTGCTGGATAAGGGTAATCTTTACAGCGTTCTTGCTAAAGGGGTTTAATTGACGTCCTGGGATACGAAATCGAACGCGAATGGATGTGCAAATGCTTTATAAGAAGTGGATGACTCACAACGCCTGTAGACTACGAGAAACTACAATAACTTCTTTTATTATTATTTATTATTATCCCTCTCTTGTTCTGGGCCCTCAACAGGCTTGCGCTCAATTACAGAGTGCATAATGCTTTTTAGTCTCTGCAGAAGGTCTTAAGTTGTTATACTACTCCGGTATTTACCGTACGAACTAGGAAAACTGCAGGAAAACCTATCTCAGAGTAACCGGAAGAATGCTCGAAACTGATGAAATTCCAATCTCTCTCACAGATGAAAAATTCTTACCTCTGCCCAGGTTCGAACACCTGACCTCCGGCTTTATAGTCCAACGCTCTTCCATTGAAGTCGGTTGTTCGATGTATAGATTTTGCCTTTGCCTTACAGACCCCATCTTTTATATTCTGCCCAGATCGGAACAGTAGATCAAGAGCCCTTTTGGTAGATTTATATCTATCTACCTATTATAATGGTACCAGTATATTTATAGGTTTATGACTTCCAAGAAACATTTTAACTTTCATATTTATGAACCGATTTCAACCACACTTTAAGGGTTGGTGTAACTCTCGATCAAGTTCGTGAATCAGCCAATTCCGCCATATTGGAACAAAATCTACCCACACCTGATCGGTCGAGCCGAAAGGGATTTTTTCTTATCACAGTGGTATTGTGATCTTCATGGGGAATTTTAGCATGGAGAATCGCCCAAAA